TCTTTTAAGTGGAAACCATTTTGCGAATTAATAAAATAAATATTTAATTAGAAACAGAAGCTTCCGATCAGTAGCGTAGCTAACAGATTTATTTTGAAAAATAGTCAAAGAATATTTAAAAAAATAACAAAAATTTTAAAAATCTTTGAAGCAAATAAAAGCCGTGCAGATGAATTCCAGAATATTAATAGCATTAATAATGTAAAAATAATTAAACAAGTCTCAAATTACACACAATTAGGTGCATATGAGATCGCCAAAATTAATAAATGTTAAGATAGTATGAACAAAGACAATGATCCAATTCCTTCAAGTTCTCTGTTCCTATTGCTCTAGTTTCGGTACTTAATTGTTACGCTCGGTTGGTTTTGATTAGCTTAGCTAGTTTTTGTCGCGCCTACTCGGTGCAACTGAACGCTTAATTTGTAGATATTAGTTCAGTTTTAATCATTCGCTGATGATTAAACAGTTATAAAGGGTGTCCAAATATTCCGAGGACATAGAACTACTACCTATTTTTGGAATCAAAGTAAGTTTATTGGACACAATTTGCCTACCTCTATATAAAAGTGCTTCGTTTGCCCGCTAGAGGGCAACAAACGATTTTATTTTCGTAAAATTGTCCCTCTAGTATTTACTGCATTTTTTGTCCCTTGTAAAAAAAGCTACCAGGCATACTTCCTGAGGAAAAAAAATATTTTTACAAAGCTTGCTTCCAAAAAATGTTTTTTGTCACATCAAGTTATGGAGGCGCATAAAATCTATTATGCTGATGATTATGAATTTTATAATGTAACAAAAATTTTATTTGACGATAAGCTTCATTAAAAGCTTAAAAATAGTAATGTTTAAATTAATTAACATTCGGGTTTATCTTTTATTGATGCCTTCTAACGGACAAACGAAACACTTTTGTGTAAAGGTAAATGATGTTCAATTAATTTATTTTGATCCAAAAAAATACGTAGTTGTCCACGAAATATTGGAACACCTTGTATATTTTTTAGGTCTGCTTTGGAAAACTAAATTCTTTAAAAATTGTTTTCACAAAAACTATGCGACGTTTTTTTACACGACACAAAACATGTAGTAAATACTGGAGGGATCATTTTACGAAAAGAAATTCTGATGTTGGAGTTGGAAAATATTTATACTGAAATTTATATAGGGGTGGGGGTAGTTTTTATCCTTCCCGTGTTTCTTGATTTTTTTGAAAGTAAGATATTAAAGCACTTCGCAAAACAAAGACACCCAAAGTCTCATTCAAATCGAAATAACGGGTTTTAAAATATCTGAAAAAATGTTTTTATTTTTTTAAAGCTTGATGCCTTCTACCGGGCAAACGTAATATACAGGGTGATCCGAACTGTAACTCTGGAAACTTCGGTAGCATATTCTGCAGATAAATATAATTAAAAAAGTTCGCATAAATGTATGTCCTAAAATGCTCAGTTTCGGAGATACAGGGTGTGGAAGTTTCATTTTTATTTCGATTATTTCCAAACAATTCCTGAAGTATTGTCAATATTTGGATGAAAATTGGTATCTGGTAGTTTTTTGACATGAGAAATTTGACTTTGATGTCAAAATCACTCGTACTAGTAGAGGGCGCCACCTACATATTTTTTAACTGGTTTGAAGAGTAATAACTTTTCGTCCGTACTTGTATAAAACTACTGAGTAAAAAAATATACATTTACGACGTTTTTTACGTGAAAAAGGTCTCTTGGTAAAAATCGCTACGAGTAACGGTTTTCGACATAATATTTGGAATCGAAATTATAAATACCGGTCATCACTGAGATAAATTAACATGTTGACTAAATAGTTATTAGACTGAAATCATAAATTTGAAATGATTTTGTGCCAAAAGTTCAACAGAAACTGTTTTATCATAATTTTTTGCAGAAAAATTTATGATTAATTTAAAAAATTAAAATTTTCTAAATTTATTATTTCAGTGAAACTACCTACTCAACGTGTTTATTTTTTCGTCAATAATGACATGTATTGTCTATTTCCATTCTAAATATTTTAAGAACGGTTGCTCGTAACGATTTTACAAAGAAATATTTTTACGTGAAAAGTCCCAGAGATGTACATTTTTGGCTCTGTATTATACAGGTACGGACAAAAGTTATTACGCTTCAAAACAGTTAAAACACATGTAGGTGGCGCTCCTACTAGTAGGAGGTATTGACATCTAAATCAAATTTCTCATGTCAAAAACTCCCAGACACCAATTTTCATCCAAATATTGAAGTTACTTTCAGAAATTATTTAGAAAAATTGAAATAAAATGAAACTTCTGCACGCTGTATCTCTGAAAGTAAGCACTTTAAGACAAACATTTATACGAACTTTTTACTTATATTTTACTGCAGAATTTCAGGAATACAGTTCGGACCACCCTGTATAATAGGTATATAAAAACAACAAAGCACTTTTGTATAAAAGTAAATTTTTGTCCAATGAACTTATTTTGATTCCCAAAAAACGTCCACGAAATATTAAGGTCACCCTGTACATTAAAATGGTTAGCAAAATGTGCGTTCAGTGCAAATCGAATAGTGTTTTGGTGTATTGTGGTGAATTAGTGTTTTATTTCGCCAATATAAACCTTGAAAATACGCCACTGCTTCCAATAAAAATAAAATAATTGAAATTCCATTCCTTTCCATTTTACAGCACCCTCAGTTCAGTATCGGAAACTGAAGTAGTTTGCGAAAGAATTAAAGTATACTGTTTCAAAACAAAAGAGAAACGGAAGAAACCGTATCAGGAATTAAAACCTGACTAAACAATTTTTATTTCCAGTTTAGAAGTTTTAAGCCAAGCGCCATTATTTTTTAATGGCTTTTCTATTGTTATGTCTTTTTACGACAACCAAGTAGTTTACATGCTCTTTTAACGGTTTAGATAAATGTATTTTATTTAATGATACTCTAGCATAAAACACCTCTGGATTCTAATGATAATGTGTTTGGAGCACTCTACCGAGCACTATTCTGGGTAGAATTACCGTTAGAGGTATACAGGATGGTGCATCTCATTATCCTCGGTTAATTTATCCGAAAACGGAAAGATGTAGAAACAAAATATTTTATGGGTATATGTGGGAAGGCAATGTGCATAATTTAAAATTATTTTGAAATGTACAGGTTATGTCAGAACTAAGATCCACACCAAAGTTATATTTTTTCGTATGGAACGCCCGGTATTTTATTTCATATTTGGATCCGTCGACATAAAATAAAGCATTTATTATAAAGGTCAAATATGTTTACAGGCTTTGGTTTTTGAGATATTTAGAGATATTTAAATTTGCATGCTATAGTAAAAAATATTGTCAACACCCTGTACATTGACTTTCAAATTAATTCTTGTGCTGACTTTTAAGCCAAAGAAATAAACTTTACTGAAAAATTTGATTGCTTCGTTTAATGTATACAGGGGTATCAAAAATTGCTGGTATATTTTAGATATTTATTTTACATAAAAACTTTATTATTTCAAATACAACACTCTGTATTTTTTTAAATAAATAAATAAATAAATAAATAAATAAATAAATAAATAAATAAATAAATAAATAAATAAATAAATAAATAAATAAATAAATAAATAAATAAATAAATAAATAAATAAATAAATAAATAAATAAATAAATAAATACATAAATGTCTTTATTGTCAAAAAATTTTTCAATTTGTAGACAAAGGTAAACTAACAAAGTAAAAAAAAAACAAGGTACACAAACAAACAAACAAAAGATAATACAAAACATTATACAAATAATATTGTCAGTCTTATTTTAAAATAAACATCATAAATGTCAAAGAACAAAAAATAAAAATAATAATAAATCGAAGCAGATTCAATTCAATGCTCTTTCAAAGTCTCCTATACCAATCTAGCTTAGATTTTGAATAATGAGAAATTTATCAATAAAATGGCAACCAAGAGGGCTAATAATATGTCGTCATGGCATGTTTCTAGTGACAGTTAGTAGCTATTTTCAGAATCGAAATTAGTTTATGGACTTTATTTATATTTATTTCAGTTTACTTTTATTTAATTTACCTATAATAGTTTAATAATAATATTTATTAAATATGTAATTATTATTCTATCAAGTAAAACGAAGAAGTAGTTCTTTGATTTATTTTACGATGACTTGTAGATATATGTATTTTCTATAAAAAAAACAACTACGGCAAATTCATTTTCTTCACTTCTAACGATAGGTTTCTGCCTAATAGTTTTTTTATAAACCACACTACCAGCTCTGCGAAATATAGGACATGTAGTTTTTAAAAGGAACGCTTATCAGGAAGATTCCTATTTGGATATCTGTGAGCATTGGTATAAACCCTTGAGGCCAAGACGCAATTTTTGTTACGAAATAAAATTACTAGTTGGTAACATTCTTTCCTCTAGCAGAACTGCTTTATTTTTCTTGATAAAATAGATAATCGACCGAGGCGAATGAGGTGCGCCACCCTGTATAAAGAAGACGAAGATTTATGTTACCATAATATACAATTTCCTAACAAAAACAAGACCGGAGTCATTGAAACAAGAGAAAGAATATATCTACCAGGTACCTTGTGAATGCAGTGAGTCGCATATTGGAGAGACTAAACATCCTCTAAATATACGACTTAGGGAGCAAAAAAATATGTATAAAGGGATGAAATAATGAAGTCATTTATTGCGCACCATGTTTGATCAAAATAGCATAATATAAAGTGATCAGAAGCTCGCGTTGTCCACAGGAAACCTCGCTGAAAAAAGCGTAAATTTAAAGCCGTTTTTATTACAAACAATAACAACATTTTTAGCAATCCTAGTAATTGATCAATCTTTTATCGTAGCGTTCATTATGTAACATAGCAATTGATATGTTCCGATTAAAGAGGTTGAAGTGTAAATAAATCTGACAATTATCTTCTTACTGAATTTAACTCATACCAAAATTAATATTATTTACTACTTACCATCATGGGTTGACTAGTAAACTTATTCGAATCAGTCGATAGATCCGCTATGAGGTTGAACAAATTTAGAGGTAACCAACTAATGCAGAATATGATTGCTATGGACCCCAACAGAATATTCGTCCTTTGTAATCTTCTTCCTCGAAGCTGTCTTCTGTTTCTTTGAAAGTTTTCATCTGTGCTTACTAGAACTCCTTGGAATCTTCGTTTTAATTTGTGGGATATACTCCAGTACGAACACTGTAACAAAACGGATCAAATATGAGTTATCTATATGTAAATGGTGCAGATACTAGTCAATAGTGCCAGAAATAATATTATATTAAAACATGTTACAAAATATGAAGATATGTTAAAAAAATATCAAGCTGGTTAAAAATAGACTCTCCAAATAATTTGTAATAATGTATCTGTTACGGCTAAAATGGATACTTGGCTAGTTTTAAAACTAGCCATCTATTTTGCAAACTAACTAAAAGCGCTTTTATTTTGAAAGAATCCGCCTATTCTTGCAAAATAAACAACCACAGCTAGTTGATATTTTAACTGGTTAGTATGCAAACTATTTACAAAATCTGGTTAGGATGGGGATTTTACCTCAGTTTACTAAAATAACTGCTAGTTTACATACTTACCAGATAGTTTACAAAATTTATTTTAATTGTTTTTGTTTGTTAATGTACGGTGTTAGGATGGATAGGTAAATATGAAAAAATAATTAATTTAATTTTCATTTAAAAAAAATATTTATTGAAAATAAATTTTAACATATTTTAAACACAAACTGTACAGTACATAACCACAGATTATACAGATTATAAACTTTGTTTTTTCTTTATTGATTTTCGTGGTTCCAATTTTCGGAATCGGGTATTAGTTAGGTTACTAGTTTGCGCACATAGCACGCCCACTTATGGCCTCTAAAATTGTGCACAGCCGGCACAGTTATTAGAAAGATATCGGTAAACCGAATAACGTCATGCAGTATTTACGCGTACCTTATCATGGTTACGATATGCGGGAGTCAATTTTTAACGCAACACCCGCTCATAACGTTACCGGCTGACGTAATTTGCGGATCAATTACACCAAGCGCTATTTCTAAATAACGTCTAAAAATTGCTTAAATGGGCATGTGTGGGTATTTGACAACCGGGGCCGGCCGGCGAGATCTTATATTTTAGGTTATGTTTGAATTGTTTTGAATTATTACTTTAGTTTTATTAGGTAATTTGATATTTAAGTAGCTGGGATTAGTTTTAATTAAATAAATATGGCCCAAAATATGGATTCCACCTCTTCCAATAATGAACCTATAAAGAGGCTTAGGTTTACAGTAGATGACGACTTAGCCCTTCTGAGAGAATGTTGTTGCTTGTTGCCCTAAACCCACTGGCAGACGTTGAATAATAAAGTACTGGAAATAAGCACTTTAGCCCTTTAGTTTTAAAATACCTAGTAAGCAAAACAATTTCAAAGTTTTAAATTCAAAGTTAGGTTAAGTTTAAATAGTGGACGCGGCGCGAACAGAATTCTTTCCGATCCGATAACTATAAATGAAGAGAGTTAATACCACCTCACGTAAAGAAAATAACACCTGGCCTTATTAACGTCCAACTATTCGGTTTAGCGATATCTCTCTATTACGCTGATTATTGTTATTTTACGCGAGTTTATTTTTGCGCACAGGAAATTTTACTCGTTTGCACATCGTCATAAAAAATAATTTTCGTACCACGAATTAGGGACAAGATTTTTATCTGTATACTTACAGGATACCTAATCTGTGACATAACGAAATAAACTCACCGACAAAAAAAACCGGCTACTAAAAACTAGTCCCAATTTCAAAGTTGAATTTTTCGCGAATCACTCATTAGATTTTGATGATTTTTTTTAAATGTAAATTAATCCCTTCTTAACGGATGCTACGTCAGAAATATTTATTCCGAATTTATTTTGAGCATATACAGGGCACAGCAATAAGACGAAGTTTTTTGCCCGAACTTTGTGACACCTTGTAGGGTGCAGAAGCTGTAGTAGCTATTGCTAAATCAAATCACATTGTAGCCTCATCTTTTGTGAGCATTTTGTTTTTCTAATCACGACATAACCTCTGTTTGTATTGGAGATACGCTGCTTTAAAATGAACGTCACGGAAAAATGCTTAGCAGGCAGAAAGTTTTATGTGGTAAATAATCAAGGCGACACGACATAGGCGAAAACGGATTTATGAGTATTTGCAATATGACAACAACGGTTGTCAAATTAAAAAATACCATTATCTGTGACAGATGTTGCTCGTATTGTGGCTTTAATTGAGGATGGCCGAAGTCGACATTATGTGTCCGATACCCTGGGCATACCTCGAACAACAGTCCAGGATGCCGGAATCGGTATATGGAAACGAGAAATTTCACCTGATGAGTGGGTTTCGGAAGAAAACGGAAGACAAATGCAATTGACGACCGCTTTATTGTCCTGAATACTTTACGAAATGGTAAAATTACAGCGTTTCAGAATCAACATCTACTAAAGCTGACTGTATTAACTGACCCTTAAAATATCTAAAAACTTGATATACAAGGTGAGTTTTCTATGATGTTTACTAGGGGTATCTCGGAAACTACTGGAGATAGAGAGTCGGTTAAATGGGGAAAGAATTGCAGTTTTGTGGGATCATAAATATGCGCTTTTCAGAGTTTTGAAAAATGGCTTACTAGATATTTCGAAAAAAACAAATTTCGGCCATTTTAAAAATTGTCCCTAATTCCATTATAAGCTATTTTAGACAAAAAGTTTTCAGATAAAAATTGTAGATAATCATATCCTTAATGAGATTGTGTCCTCCGTTTTTTTTCTAAATCCTGTCATTTTTAACATATGATATGCGCCATTTTTTAAGCTTTTCAGCGATATAAGCTATAATATGTTTTCTTCGAAAAATTATCGAATTATAGCCAATTCTTATCATTTTTAAATAATTTCACTTAGTTAGCCTTGGAAACAAGTTAATCGTCTTTGCTCTCATAAATGTGAAGTTGTCACATCCAAACTTTGTAAATTAAAATAAACAAAAATTGTAAATATGATTTTTTCAAATGAAGAAAAGCGTGTAAGATTATTGGTTCAACTTTTCTTGACCATACATTTTCGAGGATACGTTGACCGGTGAATGTTACGTTTCTTACCTTTAGTTCTTACCTTTTTTGACTAATTTCACTTAGATTGCATGGTATTCTTATTCTGTTATGATTTATAACTTATAAAAAATCGGAATATATTACTCAACGGTTCTTTAGAATTTACATTACACAAACTAAAACTTAAAAAAATAATATCACTGCATACACTTTTAGTTATTTTAGGAAATGTGCAAAAAATCCGCCACTGTTTTGAGTTGCATCTTTTTAAAACTGAATTACTACTTATTCTCAAGGAAGGACCGGTCGACTTAATTAAACTTCTCTCGTACCGCCACTTCGAGTGCCTCTCTTAATACATAAGTTCTTTTGTAAACCTTATTGTTAACCATACCGCATAAAAAAATCTAAAATGGATAGGTGAGGTGATCGAGCAGGCCCATGCAATTAGTCCACCTCTTCCTATCCCTGAGTTTGCATAATTATGATATAAATAATTTGTAACATTTCTTTCATTATGAGGGGGGGGTCATAATGAAAGTCATGTTGGAAACATTCTATTGATGCACGTATCTACACGCTTTTCTTCATTTGAAAAATTCATATTTACAATTTTTGTTTATTTTAATTTACAAAGTTTGGATGTGACAGCTTCACATTTCTGAGAGCAACGGCGATTGAACTTGTTTCCATGGCTAACTAAGTGAAATTGTTTAAAAATTATAAGAATTGGCTATAACTCAGTAATTTTTCGAAGAAAACATATTATAGTTTATATCGCTAAAAAGCTTAAAAAATGGCGCTTTTTATGAAGTCATGGTCAACTATGGTTTCCATTTAAAAAAAAACATATGTTTGTATCATATGTCAAAAATGACAGGCTTTAGAAAAAAGCGGAGGATACAATCTCATTAAGGATGTGATTATCTACAACTTTTATCTGAAAACTTTTTGTCTAAAATAGCTTATAGGAATTAGGGACAATTTTTAAAATAGCCGAAATTTATTTTTTTCGAAATATCTAGTAAGCCATGAACTTTTTTCAAAAATCTGAAAGGCGCATATTTATGACCCCACAAAACTGCAATGCTTTCCCCATTTAACCGACTCTGTATCTCCAGTAGTTTCCGAAATACCCATAGAGAACATCGTAGGAAACTCACCCTGTATAATCTAACTGACACACCACTGACAATGACAAATAATTTATTTCTGGAGGTATTGTGTGTAGGTGTTTTTCAGGTATGATTTAGTATTTAGTCGTTTTACACAAAGAAATAGTCATTAAACATAATAAAAATACTTCATAACAAATCTAGACAAATATACCTTTCATTTAAAAAAAGAATCATCAAGATTGGTGAAGTGGTTTCGGCGGGATGGATGTAACAAAAAAAAACCTTGAGCTTTTATATACATATGTATGGAGGATATGGATATTTGATGAGAAATTGGACATTGCTAATATACAATATTTTATAAAATCACACATATTACACTGTCAAATTCCTTGATAAAATAAAATCTTCGACAAAGAAATTTGATAGTGTAATACTGGTTTAAGAAATAAAATATTTTTATCCCTTTTTAAGACTAGGGCCACCAATTTTTTTTGCAAATAATATCCTATCAAATTCTTTAAACAGAAAAAAGAAACATATGGAAGAGAATTAATTGTATATTTATAGGTAATGTATATACTTACCGAAACTATCAGAATTGGTAAAAGTATACTGGAAAATCAGCGAAAATATCGAGTAGTATGCGCGACCGTGGTCCACTGGCCAATTTTCTATGCAAAAGTCCAGACTAAAAATGACGTTTCCCGTCATAGGCAGTTCGTGATGTGTTAGGTGTCGGATGAAGAATAGAGGTGAGGCCAGTAGCATAGCTATGAGCCATATTGCTGACAGTATAGATGCTGCGCCGAATATCTGAAGACTCTCGATTGTTGGATAGACTATTACCTGCAACAAAGAGATATTTATTAAAAAAATTGTGTGTACTATGTGTGTATATTAAGACGAACTCTCACGACTGGTCTACTTGGCATTTGCGTACTTGGCAAGTGTCCCCACCAGTCCCCACTTTGTAAACAACATCGGCAAGTGTGGCGCTACACGACGTCTCCATTTCAACAAGTACGCCAGCACAAACATTGTTTAAATCCTTGGCAAGTAAACAGTATAGTCGCATCGATGGATACCAGTCGTCCCGAAATTGTCGTTGCTAGTGATTCTTCTTTCTTTTTAAGTTCTTTTACTGTACACTGCAACACTATTTCTATGTTCTTTATGTTTGGCCATCCATGTGAAGGGCTCATTTTCGTCCATCCATAAATTCCAACACAACATCATTTGAAGACTACACGGGAAAAACCAGTTTTGTTCATTTTAATTGGAGCCGAGAAAAATGCAATTTAGTGTTTTTAAAGAAATATGTTATTTCCGGTTGAATAATTAGAAAAATATATATTACCTACTACCAATTCGGAATTATTAATATTGTGAATTATCTCCATATTCTACCTTATACCGAAATAAAAATGTCAAAATGCAAAACAAAACAGGGAAAAAAACAAAGATGTCCAATTAAAGATGGTATGAAACCTAAATCTAAACTATTATTTTTTTGTTGTAGGAAGAAAATTAATATTTAAGTAGGTTTATATTACAATAGATACATAAATTTATAACATATGCTTGCATGCTTGTTGCTTGTTGCCCATGCGTGCGGCAACATGCATGCTTGTTGCCCATGCGTAAGGATATCTCTGGTTTTTGCCATTTACGCGTGGACTACTCTGGTTTTTCCCTTGTACGGGAAAATACCAACCTGTAATATCTCTGGGACTAAGCGCATTATTGCTTTCTTTTTTCTCGAATGACGTGAAGATTTATCTATAAAGTTGAATCATTATCTTAATTTCTATGATAATGTGATATATCTATTATTCCCGTGTAGTCTTTATTTGTCCACTCCATTTATTGCTGTGCGAACGATTTAGGTCTGTCGCCAATATTGAAGTTATTAATGTAAATTTGATATTATATAATCTATTATTGTTTTAACGTTGTAAATGATCCGCAATTAACTGGAAAAACACTACGATCCAGAAATAAACCGGACATACGCTATAACAGTACAATTATTTAAGCAGTCGTTTTTTTTGCGCCTCGGCAAGTATAGTCAAGGCTGGCCAAGTACACTTGGCAAGTGTACGATTAACCGTTTGACTCGGGCTATGTTTACCGACAGAGGGTGGGGACGCCACGAGTGACCAAGGAAACCGTTCTCACGACATGGCAAGTATATTCCCATAACAAATTGCTGATGCGCGGGAAAAGTAGTATAAGTCGAAATTTGGGAAAAATGAGTTAAGTGTGCGACACCGTTTCTAAAAATGACTATTTTCGTTGGGTAAAGTAGTATAACTCCTTCTCAAAGATAAAAGGTAGATACAAAATGTTCGATTAGTATAAGTCAATAAACCTTTTTTATCGAGCGGGAAAAAAAGAATAAGTCTACTTATACTATTTTACACGGTTATCCTATCATAAATTGTTACGACTTATACTAATTTTCACATCCCTGTAAGTCGTCATAACGGAATTTTGCGTGACATGTTTTCAGGACATTTTTGATTGGTCAAATGGGTATATCACTACAGTTTTGATCAAAAAGAATAGATCAACATAAGGAATTATAGAAGATGACAGACGAGGGTCAGCAGCTCAAAAAAATAAAATTAGTGCTCCAGACATTGATTTGGTGAAAAACATATTCTCGATATTCCCGCATATGAGAGCCATTACTGCCGACAGCAATCAACATGGAAGTACTTACCTCCGCATTACACGCTTTCGCGCATGTTAATAATATATTAAATGGAATATCGGAAATAGGATTGTTACCCGGAAGATTTACGAGGGTGTTTTTAAAACTATGAATATCAAAATAAAAAGTCCTCAAAAAGACACCTGCCAGAGTTGCGATATATCAACAATGTTAATAAAGGCAACTAAAAATGAAGTGGACGTCTCAGAATATCAGGAAAAACTAAGAAAGCATCAAGAAGATGCTGAGACTGCTTACAATCAAAAAAAGATAGACAAAGATAAATTCAAAAACGACAAAAGTAAAGTTACCTTTACCTTCGATTTACAATAGTGTCTACCAACACCTTCTCTTGCTACCTCTGTTGCTTTCTATAAACGGCAATTATGGGCGTTTAACTTGACAATCCACAGATGTAATGACAACTCTTCTTTTAATATGATGTGGCATGAGGCCATATCAGGTCGAGGGGCTAATAATATTGCATCATGTCTCTTCAAACACTTAAGTGAATGCCTTTCTCCAGAAGTAAAACAGGTCACCTTATATTCAGATACGTGCTCCGGCCAAAATAAAAACTGGCATTTAGCTGTCATGTTCACTATATTACTTCAAAAAGTGAAGCACTTAAAAACTCTGGTTTACAAGTTCCTTGTATCTGGCCACACGCACATGGAATCAGATTGGGATCATTCAGTCATTGAAAAAAAGAAGTCTAAATACGAATCACCAATACATCATCCACCAGACTGGTACCAACTTGTGCGTTTATGTGGAAAGTCTAAACAATTTTCAGTCACTGCGATGAATAAGGAAGATTTTTTCGATTTTGGTAGTTTGCTGAACACCAATTTTCAGAAAAAAAAAACTGACGACCTGGGAGAGAAATTTATTTGGCAAAATATAAAATGACTTCGATATGAAAAAGATGTGGGTGTTGTCAACTACTAAGAAACTTTAGATCCTGAGGAGAGATTCAAGAGTATTCAACTAAAAAGAAGATCTGCAGAAGGCATCCGACAGGATAAAAAAATTGGCATGCCTGCAATCATCAAGTCTCCAAATCCATCAATATTTCCATTTTTTCATCAATATTAAATTCCTAGTCCCACCCTGATGAAAATGCATACGAAACCCGCCTAATTTGGTCGCGATCGGACGACGTCAACTTTTTCAGCCCCTATATCACATAGGAGCCTAGTATGTATTTGAATTTTATTGATATTATTCCAAGTTCTTTGCATGAAAATATCATACCAACATTCTTTAGCCAATCAGGGGATTGATTTTTGTTTCGTTAGAATGGCAACTAAATATACTAATAATACGGATTCGGAAAACGAATTTATGCCTTTAGCAATCCTCCAGTCTAGAAAGTTTTTATAGGCAGACATGTAATGATCCTTAGACTTTTGTGTTAGCAATCCAGGACTTGTTAATTTGGCCACCTCTGCTATCTCTGGTGGTGTACAGGGCTCATTATCACTCTCATAATTCATTTTTTGATTTTAAACGAGTTCTTGATGTACCACTTAATAATCACTACCTACTTAACATTTGACAATTTTAAACGTCAAAATTAATAAAAAGAAAAGAAAAGAAAAACGTCAAATCATCCACGCCGCTCATCGGGAAGTTGTGAGTGTCACATTGGCATAGCAACAAATGTAAAGTACCAAAGTGTGCATTAAAATTAATCACATCACTGTTATAATCAACCCATTACAAATATGGGCACCATATCCTTCAGCTAGGAATAAAATATGATTTATTATTAAGTGGTCGGCATGGACAAAAATAATTAAAAGCAATACTTGTATAATTCTAATAATTCCTAATATAATACAGAAAATATGTTACGCTCAAGAACAGTTAACCTAATATTCTCATTCAGCCGAAAGTGTCTGCTATGTGTATGCGAAAACTCCTCGCTTGTGACGTCATTGTAGTCATACAGTCTGTGTTCATTGTTGCGTATGCATAATATTTAATATTTAGTTTATTATTTTTTTTTTTTTTTTTTTTATAAAAATTACTGAAAAATTGTATTACATACCGGAAAGCATTTTTAAAATACGCCATTCCGCAGCAAACCAGCTTTTCAAGCATTCTTTTTAGAGTATTTCATATTGCTTACAAATAAATAATAAACAATATCGTAGGCACTTAATCACAATCCACAACACAAAAGGAACGTATTTATACACCGTTACATTCCTCTTCATACTAAGCCCGAATCGCCTGTTGTATCGTCACTCAACCAGTTACGACGACAAGTCGCCCAATCGACCGTGGACGACAAACTCTGCCGACCTAGCGTGATTGTCAGTGCAAATCAACTATACCTTCTTGTCCACTTCGCGATATTCTCGTCCATTCTCTCCTTCGAGTACCCACCATTTTGCATTTCCACCTTGCCTATGCCTTCTCATCTTCATTTCTCCACGGTCAGAAAGTCTTTCCACTATTCGCGTCAGTACCCCATTCGGTTGTATCTAAGTAGTTTAGTTTCGCCTGTATACTCAGTTTGTGCAGTGTAAGTCATTATTGGTCGTACCGTTGCGTTGTAAATTCTCGCTTTAGTTCCCACCTCAACGTTTTTATTTCGCCATATAGTGTCATTCAGGCATCCTGCTATCTGGTGCCTCGTTAGCTGTCTCGCACCTCCGCCATCATCAACCAATCCTGAGATTCTTGATGCCTAAGAATCAAAACTTCAATCTCTTGCTGATAATATTGCCCTTGACTTCCAGTTTGCATCTTAGTGGTACTTTTTATGTCGTTATGCATTTAGTTTTCTGTGTCGATATATTATCATATTAAGTGCAGTGCAGTTAAATCGAGGTTAATAAGCGCTGTAGATCTTTCTCATTTTCAGCTACCGATACGGCGTCGTCGGCATTGCACAGAATAGTAATTTCACGGTCGCACATACTGTATCCCTTCAGTAAACGTACACTTCCTATTATTTCGTCCATAACGATGTTGAAAAGAAGAGGGCCCAGTGAGTCGCCTTGTCGGATACCAATCGCGCCTCAAATACTCCTTCAAATTGTTTGTATGGTTTAGCAGTTGTGATATCACCTAGTAGCTCTTAAAAAACAACCTTTCTCCATAGAATCGACAAAAT